GACTGCTGCCCTGATAAGGGTCACCTGTGACATCAAATCAGTGTCTCAGGATTTCTTGAAATAAACTCAATCCAACCAATATTAGCCATAATTTCCTGTTTATTGTACAGGAGTGGTTTTTGGAGGTGGGCATTAATTTGCATGTCTTCCAGTTGTTGGCACTGGACCTCCTAGGAGAGTATGTGAGGACCCAGGGGCAGGAGGGAAAACAAAAGTGAAGGAGACAGCACATTCACCAGAAGATAGGAAATCCATCAAAATGGGAGCATTCAGACTGACTCTTGTAGGAAAGCTTTTAGCTCTTACCCTGATGAACATTTTATCATGATACTGATACAGATATTGAATAAGAATAGTGATGATTTCACTGGAAATGGCAGTGGCAGAGGAAGAAGGAAAGATTCCTCTCCTGTCATTGGCACCAGCAAATCACCAAAATTCCACCCAATACCAGTTTTTCTTTCCCTCCCCATGATGTCTTAAGCTCCTGTCATCTTACAAACATTGCCCATGTCCTTTCATTTCTCACTCCTCTTCACTGTCCTGCTCCACAACTTTTTCATGCTGTTTTTCACCTCTTGGTTTCTCAGGGTGTAGCTGAAGGGGTTGAGCATGGGCGTGATGATGGTGTAGAAGACAGAGGGCACCTTGTCCGCCAGGCAGGTGGTGGAAGGGCGCAGGTAGATGAAAATGCAGGGCCCAAAGAAGAGCGTGACGGTTGTGATGTGGGAAGAGCATGTTTTGAGAGCTTTGAGCTGCCCTTTGGGAGAGTGTGTCCTCAAGGAAAGCAGGAGAGCAGTATAGGATACTGCAAGGACAACAAAAGAGCCCAGGGATATCAGGTCACTACTGACGGCTACGCCGACACTGCTGGTGGAGGTGTCAGCGCAGGCCAGCACCAGCCAAGGGTGGTCATGCCAGAAACAGTGGTCCAGCCCATTGTTGGGCCCACAAAAGGGCATTTGGAGCAGCAGGGTCTGCAGCAGGGAGTGCACAAAGCCCCCAGCCCCGAGGCTGCCAGCAGGCAGCCGCAGCCGCGCGGGCTCACGACGCTCGGGGAGTGGAGCGGTTTGCAGAGGGCGACGCAGCGGTCGTGGGCCATCACCATGAGAAGGAAGATCTCAGGGCACCCAAAGAAGTGGGTCCCCAACAGCTGAGCCATGCAGCCCGCAAAGGAGATGGTCCTCTCCTCCACAAGAAGGTCCTGGATGAGTTTGGGAGCTGAGACAGTGGAGAAACTGATGTCTACAAAAGACAAAGAGCTCCGGAAGAAGTACATGGGAGAGTTCAGCAGGTCACTTGTCCTTATAGTCATGATGATGAGCAGGTTTCCAAAAGTGATAGTGGTGTAGAAGAGTAAAAAGAAGAAGAAGCAGAGTTTTGCTCCTGTCCTGCCTTGTGTCAGTCCGTGGAGGATGAACTGGGTCCCGTTATTTGTGTTCTCCATAGGCACCACTCAGGCAGGACCTGGAGCTCAGAAAAGAGACAACAGGAGTGACATCAGACCTGGGGCAGGATCAGGACGTGCACAAACTGACCTTTGGCATGTTAAATATTCGGTTGGGTTTTTTTCTGCTGTATTTTTGGGACAATTTCAATTTCAAGTCAAT